ACAAACACAGATGCTGGAAGTCTTCAAAATAATTCTGCTGAAAGACAAACGTCAAAAGATGAACATAAGGAGGATCCAAACAGAAACAATGTATAATTGCATTAAATACTGGACTATACATTTCAGTTTTCTTCTATATTATATCATATAAAAATAAACTTCAAAAAGAAAAAATATAACAGCCTAACATATGCAAGTTTGGCAGGTCTGAGATGATAATTCAATAACCTAACAAAACTGGTACTCTTCCTGTTATCAGTACTGGATTCATAAATGTATGTACGCCATGCATGGAAATGTGGATATATATGCATGAATGTACATAAATTAAATTGAAAGCAAATAAAATGGAATCAAAGCATAGCAATTCCCTTACAATATTAATAATAACAACTGTGAAAAAGGTCAAACATTGTAGCTAAACATAAATTAATATAAGATTCATGATTAAAATACATCAACATAAAAGTTTACAATTGGGTACCCCTTGTTTCTTGGCGATTCTTTTTTTACGCCAAGATCGGCACCAGGAAGGCACGATTTCAAGATGGCCGCTACACAAAACCAAAATAAGAAGCCAAAGAATTGCACAAACACTGTGTACATGTACACATCGATCAGTTTTCACTTAAAAAAAACATCCTAGAATTGCACAAACTAGGCATTGTGCACTGTCTTAAATTTGTCCATATACACATGAATCTATTTTCATTTAAATAAAATGAGGAAGCTAAAACAAAGTTAAAACTATCACGGTAACCCGAAGTGAGGTTTCATCCGCAAAACTTTTAAAAAAAATTGTCACTAATCGGAAGGGCATCCGATTCTACACTAGAGCCTACATTGAAGAATAAAATTGTTAATGTTGAAATAATAATAAAAAAATGTGGCTGATCTTTGGAATATGGTAACTGGTAGTTTGGCAACATTTTGGAGGCGATAAAGGTTACTACCTAGGACTTTGGTAATAATGTGAGAAGTACTCAGTTCTGATTACGCATTATTTTGTGTGAGGGAAATGAGAGACCATGAGATATGTCATGTGACATTAATGGCCGAATTACAGTTCTTTAATCGGAAAAGGGGGGGAATTTGGAAAACTGTAGTACTATATTATTTTGTATTAAGCTTCATTGTGTGTTTGTGTGAAAATAGTGGAAGTGTGCGTGCCACGTAATGAAGATTTTGAAGATTAGGTAAGTTGGTATTTTAATCATTTGAGGATATTATTTTTATGCATTGTTTCTAAATGTAAGGAGTAAATAAATTAATATGATATTATTGGAAAATTGTTATTAGCAATGATTTAGTTTTAAAGTAATTAGGATTGTAATCTAATTTTTTATTAATATAATGTATGTGCTTATTTATATTTTAAGTAGTGTGTTTTTTAATTTAATTATATTTTAATTTAATGATCGTGATTTTGTGAGTTACATGTTTGTAGTATTTTGGAATACGTTTGAGTAGAATACGTTGAGTATTTTTATGCATTTTCGTGAAATTTTTCTAATTTATGAGAAAAAAGCAGTGTACATGGATATAGTGAAATGTGTGCGCAATGCCATTTTTGTGCAATTCTGGGATTTTTTTTAAGTAAAAATAAGTCGACGTGTACATGGCTTAGTGATATTTTAATAAAATGATAGTTATTTTGTGAATTTTATGTTTGTAGGAATTTGGTACAGTCAAAAGTCGTTAATTCGGACACCCATAATCCGGACCTCAAAGCTACAAACTTTCTGCGCATGCGTAGCGTTCACGCATGCTCACCTGCGTTTACGAGTGCGCGTAAGACCTTTACGGATGCAAATATGTTTTTGCGCATGCGCGTTTAATGTGTAACGAACGGTATAATCTAAGCAAAAATTATTTAATTCAGTTAATGTTGCAGATTGCGTTGTTCCTTAATCTTCGAATTGGATCCGGCTTATTATTTTTTGCGGACTGTTAGAGCAATTTCATAAAAGTAAGCTTGAACTTTCGATTATGTCAAATAGAATTTCCGATATATATTTACTAATATGTAATTTGTATCTACAAAGCGAAAGTATGTTTTGAAATCCGAAATCTGTTTATCAATTTCACACCGCGGATTGGAAGTTGATCTGTCAGCACTATCCTTATCTTCAGGGCAGATGTTTTTATTTTATTTGGCTTATAATTCCTTACTAAGTGTAGTGTTTCATTTCGATGTACTCGGTCTTTAATATGATTTAAATCAAGTTCCTCCTCATTATAATTCGCTTCCGATAGTGAAGAAAGTGACCCACAGGTTATTGAAAATGAAAACATTTCGATTGACAAATTAGTTGGTATTCTCAACACAGCAATTATAGGACTTGAACAGCGGAACTTTGTAACTAAACAAGAAATTATGTCTGTTTAATAGAATTAAAGAGAAAGTATTATCACATGAAACGAAGCAACTTACATTGAAAGAAATGTTTAATAAAATAAACAAATAAATATTAAGCTTTTTTCTTTTTGTAAATTTTGATACCCTTTAGATCATAATTGTTTTTCTTTATTTCATAAATTACAGTTTCATATTTTTAATTTTGTAATTTCTGCATGCCATCTTACCAGATTTAAACTGATGATCTATAATCCGGAAAAATTGATAATCCGGAATCACCGAAGTCCTGACGAGTCCGGATTAACGACTTTTGACTGTATACGTTTCAGTTGAAGTAAACATGCAAGGAAGTAATTTAAATATTTGACACTAAGTATTCGTAACCATTTGTAATGTTTGGGGTATGAATTCGTTGGTGATGTTTATAATAGAATAGATAATTTAGAGGTAAAAGTTTTTGGATATTTTATTTATTTTATACGTGGAAATGTTCATCTTTGGAAAGGGTATATACTTTTTGCGATCATGTAATTTCATATATGTTCTTTTTACCGGATTTAAAAATTCACAAAATTTTCATGCATTTTCGTGAAAGTTTTCTAATTTATGAGAAAAAAGCAGTGTACATGGATATAGTGAAAAGTGTGCGCAATGCCATTTTTGTGCAATTCTGGGATGTTTTTTTAAGTAAAAATAAGTCGACGTGTACATGGTTTAGTGATATTTTAATTAAATGATAGTTATTTTGTGAATTTTATGTTTGTAGGAATTTGGTATACGTTTCAGTTGAAGTAAACATGTATGGAAATAATTTAAATATTTGACACTAAGTATTTGTAACCATTTATAATGTTTGCGGTATGAATTTGTTGGTGACGTTTATAATATAATAAGATAATTTAGAGGTAAAAGTTTTTGGATATTTTATTTATTTTATATGTGGAAATGTTCATCCTTGGAAAGGGTATATACTTTTTCGCGATCAGGTAATTTCATATATGTGCTTTTTACCAAGTTTAAAGATTCACAGAATTTTTTTGCATTTTCGTGCAAATTTTTGTAATTTATGAGAAAATAGCAGTGTAGATGGATAAAGTTGAGAGTGTGCAATGCCATTTTTGTGCAATTCTGTGATGTTTTTTTAAGTAAAAATTAGTCAACGTGTAAATGGTTTATGTGTATGTGCTATTCTGAAAAACGCGCAAGGAGTTTGCGATTGTGCACTTTTTCCCAATTTTGCAGTTAATATTTGTCATGATTAAGAAGTTTTGTTACATAAAATTTCTAGCATAAGTGTAATTCGGCTAATAGATTGTTGGAAAAAGTGTTCAGTAAATAAAAAGAAAAGAAACATGTCTTTATTTCGTGAAGACAAAATGGCGGCGAAAAAAAAAATAGAGGGTTGCTGTAGCAGAGTTGGTCACCAAATTTTCGCCAAAAAATCACCAAGTTACCATAATCCAAAGATCAACCAAAAATGTAAATTAAAAATTAATCTTCTTTGTCTGAAACCCTAATTCAGAACTCATCACTAGAAATGAATTAAAAGTTTCAGAAAAGACAATGTGTTTGAATATGTGTTTCATTCTCTTGAATCATTTGAGATCAAAAACTAAAAAAAGATTCAAATAAATTTTCAATAAAAACTTTCAATAACAAAAAAATACCATAAAATTAAATATGCATTATTGTAACATCAAAGGGTACTTTTTTATTATCATGACTGGATTCAGAAATGTTTGTATGATGGTGCGGTATATAATAATGTGTGGTATATACTCACGCACATACATGTATAAATACATCTTTCTGAATCTTGTCCCCCCGATAACAGAAATGCAGCCATCAAAGTTAAGAAATAAGAGATAAATTAATTTATATTTCAAATGCTAAATTAATTCACAGATATATATTGCTTTTAGAAAAACACTTTTCTTACAGCAAAGGAGGGAATCTTGCTTTTCATTTGGACTAAAACTGCTTATACAGTTTTACAATTAAATAATGGTTAGTATAACTTTGAAGATGAAAAGTTAACATTTAAGACATGGCAGCTTCAAAATTTGTACACTGTTATAATAGTTTTAAAAAAACTCATAAAACCTGGTCCATCAGAGAAAACAGATTTTAATTCTTACAGTGTCATTCAATACATATTCATTCAGGCTTAAAATACTTATGAACAAAAAAGTATAACCTCTTAAAACAATAAGAAGTAAAAAAGAATTGATAACTTCAATTACACCAAAAACCAAATAATAATCTCAAAAGAAAATTAAACTGCCAGCATTTTCAGAGTAAATATTTTCAAATTTTAAAAACACAGTTTCAAGTACATAACTCAAAAATACTACTTCTTGTGTGTTAGCAGGTGTCAAATAAAAATTAGCAATATAAATTTTACAATTATATACTTCATCACATTCCTAAAATTTATCTGCAATTTCTTACCTCTAGTATTACAATTTAATAGCCACATTAAAATAAAATTAGCAATGAACAACTTAAGATCAGGCTGTAAAAGGCTTTGTCTAATTAAAAAGGTAATTAAATCTGTTAATAATTAAATAAACGGGAGGAATTTGTATAGAATTAATTATACTGTCCAAAATAAAATTTCAAATTACTCTTGATAACTAACCTTCACTCCAAGGATCAGGGGCTTCAAAATATCCAGTTACTATAGTGTCATCATCAGGAAAAGTAACTCGCCGACCATTTACATGACCCCCAATACATCCAATCTCTCTTAGAACAGTGGATGTTCTTTCATTTGGAGACGATGGAGCAGAAGCTGACCTTTCAATCATATTATTTACAGAGCACTCAATGTCAATTCCTAACGCCATTGTAGTCATCTTACACATAAAACGGCAAATAAGTGAATTCTAAAGACATTTATGATTATTATATTTTCATATTAGTAGTCCATCAGTTTAAATATCGTTATTCAATATAAATGTCACATAAGCTACTACAGTTTGCAATTTTCATGCTTTGCTGCTAAAAAATAATAACGATATCTGTGCATGCGTCGAGTGATTAAAGATTACGTAAAAAAAAATCAATGAATTTACTCTGATTCCCCAAGAACAAAATTTAAAAACTAAGAAACAAGTATCACTGAGAGTAAATAGTTTATGAACAAGTTCACTTCTAATTAAAGATCACTCGGAATAACAAAAATACAACAATTCAACTCAACATTTCATTTATAGGATTAAAAATCGCAGATAGTATTTGTTTATATTTGGTTTCTAGGAAATGGCAACAACAACGAACAGTTCGATTGAGCTACATTTCTTGTACAAAAGAGATACCGATATGCTCAAATGTGTACACATGGGTTACTATACTTAGTTATTTATCACCATTTACATCGAAATGAAGTCCTTCTCTGTAGTCGAGAAATGAGTGCATTGCCATGTTTTTTTAGTTGCTTTCTTGAAAAAAGAAAAAAAATTAAGTAAGTGTTTATTAGAAATTTTCAAAAAAGAAATTACGTTTTGTGAAGTGCAGAGGAAATTATATTTGCTATCTGCATGAATCTAATCAAGGCCAACTAGATATCTAGTTTAATGCTATCTAGTATTTTATTTAGAACTGCAGGTTTAAGTTTACTTTCCAAATAAGCAGGAGAGGATTAAGGACTTTCTTTCCAGAGTTTCCGTACAATTACTGCAAATTCGGTATTTCTGCCAACTTAGAAATTACTACTGAAATGCGTTGTATAAAATCTAAAGTATTATTAATATACTATAAAGAACGAACTTCTTTATACAATTTTATTAATGAGAAAACAGGGTTGGAACAAATATCAAGTAGCCTTTTGAAAAAGATCCAACTAGTGTTTATCTTTCGAAACAGTCATTTTGTAATGCCATTTTACGAAAATTTAAACTCAGAGAAATTAGAGATAAGATGAAGAGGAAACATAAAGGACACTACACTACGTTTGTTTTTTAACTAATACACTTATTACTATTCGTTATTTATTAAACATCTATCCTGAGTGACTTTTTAAACAAGAGAAATCTATCCATGAAAATAAATCTTAATCTTTTCATGGATAGATTTTGCACTTGATTTGCTTGTGCTTCTGAATTTAAATGATATTGTAGAGTAGTTCGAGAATTAAATCTTTTGCATGTTTGCATATTTTTAATTATTTTAAATTATTTGGCTTTTTTCCTTTTTTTAGAACTTATTTACTTTTTTACTTTTATACGTATTTGTTAAGAATTTAAATTTGTTTAAATATATATTTATTTCTAAACCTTAGAACAGGCACAATCCCGACATTATCGCGGGTTGGGAAACAATGTTTTTGATTGAACAATGATTTAATCTTTGATGATGTGGGGATAAAGGAGGATCATTAAACCTATGAGCCTCGTAATTGAACCCTTTCTTGAACGGGCGGCTAAAACCCGCCGGGAACTGAAGGAATTCAACCAATCAGAATTAGACACCGCTGGAGACTGTTTTTGGCGATCAATTTTTTACGCCAACAATCGAAAAAGTTGTTCATTTCTCAAGCGCTCAAAAACAAAGCAAGTTTTTGTTTATGTTTGTGCTGATATTATCTCATTTGTTTAGATCAGAGAGAATTTTGCAATCTTTATTTTTAAAGGCAACAGAATGAATATGGAGAATTCGGAGGATACTCGTGTAAAATGCGAAATGTGTGATAAAAGTTTTAAGACAAAAAAGATACAAGTGAAACACTTGCGACTTGTTCACGGTGTTTCATCAGAAAAATCAAAAACTGTTCGATGTATCGAATGTTTTTTTTTCTTCATTTTTTAGTGTTGAAAATTACAGACAACATTTATTTTTTGACCACGACGTAGCAAATGCACATGAAAAAGTCATTTTAAAGTTTTACGTCTATGGAAGGTTAGCATTTTTATTAAATTAATAAACTTTTAATTATTTCAGAAGGTTTCCAGATACTAAAAATTATGATTTTAATTTCGTTTTTTAATTTAAATTTTTTTTATGCTGTTGAGTTTTGAAGAAATTTTATCCCTTATGTATAACATGATAGCAAAATTTCAGTATATTGTTCTTTTGAAACGTTCACTGGTATGGTTTGCTTTGTTTGATAATGGCAAAGCACACTAGGGCTATCTACCTAAGGGGAGGGATGCCTTCGTGGAGGACCTTCTAAGGGAAACTAGCTCATAAACACATTACACATGGAGAAATTCCCGAAACCATGTATGCAGCCAGCCCGTTCACTGGGTTTCGAATTTCATACTGAACTATTTGTATTCAATAACTTTACCACTCTGCTCCTAGTGGGCTGAAAAGTTTACAGTATAATTTTTTAAAATTTTATTATTTATCTAATAATATTCAGAACACCCTTCCAATTTTAACTCATAACAAATGTGCATAGTGTGTTCAAAAAGTCTTCCAACTTTTTTATTTAAATCTTAATTTAATTAAAATACTTGATTTATATTGCTGGTTTTCAGGCACATAGCTAGAGTGGGAGCAAAGGGGAACATCTGTCCCTGGGCGCAGCATCCAGGAGGCACCAAACTGACGTTATGAATTTCTAGAATGAAATGTTTTCCATTCTTGGCAAACAAGAGGGGCGTAAGATCTTTAGTTGTCCGCAGGTTCAGAAAACCCTATCTACAGCTCTGACTGGAATAAAAAATGTATATATATATACATGCACACATGAAACACATTCATCCATCCATACATGCATGTATGTATACATTTCTGAATCCAGTCCTGATAACAGAAGTGTATCACATTTCTTTTTCACAATTATAATATTTTCTCACAGAGGACTAGGTACAATATTTTTGCAAGCATAGCAGATGTATCAGTGATTAATGTATGTAATGGGGTTGGTAGACTTTTTTAAAAAAAATATCAGTAGCGTAATGTGAGGAATGCAAAATGTGAAAACTACCTCGTAACTTATTATATCTAGGAATTTATACTCATGAAAAAAAAAAAAAAAAAAAAGAGAGAGAGAGAGAGTCTCGTGAGCGGTAACACAGCTGGACACTATTAATGAGACTTGGTTTAAATCCTAGCAAATGTACTGTTTGAGTGACAGTTTTCAAGATGTTCCCTGTGTGTACTGCAAATATGAAAGGAGCCAAAAGTTCTTTTAAAAGATTATGTGGATTTTTCTGATTTGACCCCCAGCGTGTTCTCCATCAAAACTGGGGCAGAGCTGTACAGTTAGTGAGATGGAACTATAGCTGTGAACTGTTGATAAAATTATGGTGGTCTGCCCACTTGTTCCTGTTCTGTCACACAGTATTTAGCATTTGTAGTGTATTAATATAAGAATGAAATTTTAACTATCATTAATAGTACTGAATATATTAATGAATAAATTTTAAATAATCATTCATACTGAGTTGTACAAAACTTCTCTATAAATATTACTTTTATAAAATTAACACTGTGTTTTCTGATGAATGGTATAAGCTAGGAATATGTTAATTCTGAAAATTGTGTATTACAAGAAACTAAAAAATATTTTGAATGAAAATTTTTATTTATAGATTTTTATAAATGGCTTGCTGAAGAAGAAAAAGCAACAAATTCTTCATATATATTGCCTAGAGGAGAAGAAAAATTCAAAAATCATTCAACAGTTAAATTTATTTGCAACAGAAGTGGGGTATACATATCTGGGAGTACTGGTAAACGCCAGTTAAAATTTCAAGGTACAAGGAAGATTGGCTTTTATTGTACGGCTGGTATAACAGTGAAAATTTTTGACATGCATGTTGATGTCATTTATAATAAATGTCACTACAAGCATGATAATCTTCTGGGCCACTTACCAATTGCAGAGCAAGATCAACAAGCAATTGCTGGTAAGAAAATGTTTTACTTGTTTTTATAAATTATATATATATAAGTAAATTTAAATTCCATAACATGACTCTTTATATATATTTCAAAGCAATATATAATATATACATTGGTCTGTTAAAGTTAACACAAGTGGTGTCCAATAAAGGTTGTCTAGGTAAATGAATGTAATATTATATTTCAATAAAGCACGAAAGATACATAAATAAAAGAATGGTACTTTCATACATGAGTGGTCCATATTAGTATACAGACGCTGTATGTCCAAATGTAGAATAAACCAATAAAATAACATTCAGTAAAGGATGTTGTCACCTTAGAATGTTATGTTGTTGTCAATAAGTTATTATGATTTCCTTTCCCATTCCTCCGTCAATACCATCTTGAACTGCTGAACATTTTGTGACTGATTTAGACCAATGGCATAGCTAGAGGGGAACATCTATGCTCTGGTGCAGTATCCAGGGGACGCCAAATTGAAATAACAAAATTTTAGAATGAATGGTTTTAATTCTTGGTAAACCCAAGGTGGTACGAAATTTTCAGCTGTCCCCGGATGCTGAAAATGCTAGCTACGACTCTGATACGTACCACAAGACATTTCCAGCATCTTATATGTGTTCAGTCAGATTTAGATTTTGAGAATATGTAGGCCTTTCTACATATGTATACATGCATAGGCCATTCCAGTATCTTTATTTTTTAACAGCTGTGTAGGAGGTTACAATACTACTCATGAATTACTGTATCTGATTTTCCATATATGCTTGCAGCATGATGCACCTCCTATAAAAGTAATCATAATCAATGATATTTATGAGATGATTATGCATTCCTGTCTCTTACCAGATAAGTCAATATCCAGAACTGTCGTTTACATTAACCGCTATCCTATAATTCTGGGTGTCATCTGTGAAGGATATCTTGCTGTACTGCTTTTTTGTCCAGTACTGTATTTTATGGCAGTACTAGAAACAGCATCTGAAATAAGTAAACGGTGGATTAGTGATGGCTATCAGGTGCTTTTATATAGCTAGCATGCCACACTGTTTTTATGGTGATGTAGACTCAATTTTTAAGATTTTTATTTTCTTTATTTAAATTTTGCCCCCTGTCGTCTTTCTGAATAATTTTGTTATTTTTATTATTGGTATGAACAGAAAATCTATTTCATCATCTGTCTAAATTAACAGATGTGAGAGAGATCTCATAGCAAATATTAAAAATTAAAATTTGAGAAAATAAAAATATTTATTGGCCTGATAGTTACCTTTTTACAGACAATCCGCGGTTCCAGCACTCTGATACGCCATCTAGTGGCTAAAAGGTGGAAACATAAAAAAATGGTATTTATGTTTGACAGTACTATGTAGTTTGCGAAGCGTGTTGTGATGAAAAGTAATTAAACATTTATTTTTTATTGTTGTGGGCATTATGTATAACTTAGAAATACAGACCACACGTTTTGTTGTGTATCCCAGTGTAATTCATGAGCTTAGAAGGAACCTGAGTTATGCTTGCATCGTATTTTTGGCTCAAAAAATATCAAGCAAGATAGCTAAACGAAGAAAGTAGTGGATTCACATATTTTGAATTGGAAAGAAAGTTGGATGTTAAATGAAAGTGCGTTCTAAGCATTTAAAAAAACTGATTACATTTTTTCTCGTTTTCTATATAAATGCAAAATTTCTTTCTCGTGTATATGTACAGACAGTCAAAAGTCGTTAATTCGGATACCCATAATCCGGAATGATCTATAATCCGGACCTCAAAGCTAAAAACTTTCTGCGCATGCACCGCGTCGACACATGCGCATAGACATTTACGCGTGCGCATAAGGCCTTTTACGACTGCGCATATGCGTGTGCGCAAGTGCAGAATACGTTTTCGCGTGCGCGTTTTATGTATAACAGCCTTAGCTAAAATTATCTAATTATCTATTTCAGTTAATGTTGATGATTGCATTGTTCCTTAATCTTCGAATTGGATCTGGCTTATTATTTTTTGCAGACTGTAAGAGCAATACTATAAAAGTAAACTTGAAGTTTCGATTATGTCAAATAGAATTTCCGATTCTGGAGCTCCCAAAGGATTGTACAAAACGAAAGTATGTTTCGATGTCCATCAAACAAAAAGTGGAATTGCTGCAAAAATTGGATAAAGACATGAAGAATGTGACAGAGAGTTTAGTGAAAACGAAAAAATTTCGATTGACGAGTTAGTCGGTATTCTCGGCACAGCAATTAACGGGATTTGAACAGCGGAACTTTGTAACTGAACAAGAAATTTTGGTCTGTTTATAGAATTAAAGAGAAAGTATTATCACATAAAACGAAGCAACTTAAACAACTTACATTGAAAGAAATGTTTAATAAAGTAAACAAATAAATATTAAGCTTTTTTCTTTTGTAAATTTGATACCCTTTAGATCATAATTGTTCTTTATTTCATAAATTACGGTTTCATATTTTTAATTTTAGATTTTATGCGTGCCATCTTACGAGATTTAAACTGATGATCTATAATCCGGAATCGCCGAAGTCCCGACGAGTCCGGATTAACGACTTTTGACTGTATAAATGTGTATGTGTACTCTTCGAAAGTAAACATGCATATTTGTGTATTGAAGTATAAATCATTATTATAGCTTATTGATCTCTTAAATATTATTAATACACATACGTATACAATTAGGTTTTGATGCATATTTTACCTGCAGAATTTAAATTCTGTTTCAGTTCATGTTAGCAATGATTTAAATGAAAATTTGTAGCATGGCACATATAAAAATAAAAGTTTTACTTTACAGCACTTTTACTAAGAAAATTATGGTACATATAAAAATTGCTAAGAATAAGAAAACCCTCTTCTTTTTGCTACTTTCTCCTTTTTCAATAATGAAATGTCCTTCAATTTCATGCAATCAGGACGCAATAGAACTTATCCTTAAATAGGAAGCCAAATTTGTACATTGGATTTTTCTAGTAAAATTCCGTGCATTACCAAATGATCTGCTTTTTAAAATTCTCTCTACTTCAGTAATACAGTGAGAATTTACACCTCCTTGAACAAAATTAAACATTTCGGAAAAGCTAAGCAAATTCATTTTTGAATGTACGAAGTCAGATCACAAATCAAAATACCGGTTTTTATCTGCCACACTAATGAGTGAGAGCGCCACCTATAAGTGAATTGAATCGTCGATTGAATGACGATTAAATATAACTTGTCCAAATCTACATGTACTCATATATGTAATACATGCTTACATGGTTTGGCTGTTGTGTATATACCTGAAAATTCACCAGATACGTGGCAGTTTTACCAAATGTTGAAATTGGGGATATGTCTAATTAGAAAATATCACAATTTACATTAATTTTTAAATTTATGCAGATTTTTAAGAAATTGAATTACATCTTTTGTTTAAAAATTTACATGCACAATTTAAATAATAAAAATAAATTATGTGCTTTAATAACCAATTTCGTTTTTATGTGTGTGTATTTTAGGCAAACTTATACATGGGGTGACTTCAACAAAAATTCTCCAAGAAATAAGAGTACCTGAAGAAGAACTGAAAAGAGGAAACCTCATTTCAAGGAAAGACTTGAGTAACATAAAGCATAAATTTGGGATTTCAAATACATTAAGCGGGTGTCATAATGAAAACGATGCTCTTAGTGTAAAGTCATGGGTTGAGGGCATGAAAGAAAAGGCAGACAATGTTGTTTTGTTTTATAAAGAACAGGGAATGAAGCATGATCATCTGAATGAAAATGATTTTCTCCTGATAATCATGACTCCTGTACAAAAACATATGCTTAAGGTATTTGGATGTGGAGATAGAATTTGTATTGACTCTACACATGGGCTTAAAAATTATAATTTTGAGCTGGTAACTTTACTTGTGATTGATGAGTTTGAAGAGGGATTCCCTGTTGTATTTTGTTTTACATCATCTGTAAATTTTGAAACAATGTCATTTTTTTTAAAAATTGTACATTCTGAAGTTGGTGACATTAATTGTAAAATTTTCATGTCTGATGATGCACCAGTTTTCTATAATGCTTGGGAAAGTGTCTTCGGTGCAGCAATGTGCAGATTACTATGTGCTTGGCATGTAGACAGGGCATGGCAAGGCCATTTGAACAGCATTGGTAATAAAGAAAAGAAAAATAAAGTATATAAAGCATTAAAAAGTATTTTATATGAATTAGATGAAACTAGGTTTACTGTTATGCTGATGGAATTTCTTACTGAGTTAGAAGAAGATAGCGACACAAAAGAATTTTATGTCTATTTTAAAAAATATTATGCAAATCGGGCAGAAATGTGGGCTTATTGTTATAGGAAATATGCCCGTATAAATACCAATATGCATGTAGAAGCCTTCCACAAAATTTTAAAATATATATATTTGGAAGGGAAAAAAAGTAAGCGTGTGGATAATTCTATAAAAAGCTTAATATGCTATTTGGAAGATAAAAATTTTGATCGGTTATTAAAATACCATAAAGGGAAGATGACAAAAAAATTGTCAGTTTCTTTAAAAAGACACAAAGAAGGTATGCTATTGAGTTCAAATTGTGTAAAACTGAATGACAACAATTGGAAAATTAAGTCCTCACAATCTGAAACAGTGTACTATATTAAAAAAAATTCAGAACACAATTGTACTGGTAAATGTGTAATATTTTGTAGGTCATGTAATGAATGTGTGAGTACATTTACTTGTTCATGTCCAGATTATACAATTCAAAACAACATGTGTAAACACATTCATGCTGTTTTAATTTCTGAAAATAAAAGTGTTGGTGCCAATGTATTGTACACAGGTTCACTGGCAAATTTTCGAGAAATCGTAAATGAAAGCGCTATTTCAGTAAATGATAATACAGTTGAAAAAAATAACAATATTTCAGTTAAAGAAAATAAAATTGAGATTCTGAAAGATAAATTAAATTCAATAATAATTAATTTAAATAACAAAACAGACATTCAACCCTGTGTATACAAAAGTGTATTAGGCCATGTTAATGCAATTCAAAATCTTCTACGAATAGATGAAGAAAATGCTACACTAATTTCTAAAGATATAGTTTCTCCCTCAGAACCAAGTAACAAAAAAATAGTCCCACAGAAACGTTTTTACTCAGTAAAAAAGCAAAGTTCAAAAAAACGTTTAAAATTAGCTAAACCTTCTACCAGTGAAAGTTATGATTTCCAAAAAGTACTTTTAGGTGACCCTGTCATTAATTTTGGAAATGATCATATATATTAATAGTACAAAATCTCAAATCCAGAAGTCCAGTAACTGGAATGATCTATTGTCTCCATCTAATATATACTTATATTTCCCCCCTTTTTTTAAAAAAAAAATTGTTCTCTTGATATAGTATAGGAACAAATATGACATTTAAGTGAAAGCAAGTGTGGTATAAATGGATTTATGTTCCAATTAACATTTAATTATGCCCTTGAATAAGATCATCATAATACATCCTGTGGTGTAGAAAAATTAAAATTTCTGCTGCTCTGTGCTTGCATTTTAGCAGCATAATAGCCAGATTTCATAATGATCTGAAAGACTAAAAAATTTTAAAACCAAATAATTTGCAATTTTTATTACATATAAAAATTGGTGTTTAAAAATTTAGTATATAAGCACCCGTATTATATTGATCATTATATATGTAATTTTAATTCCATGCTTTTAAAAATATTATAATAGTAGCTGCATATTTATTTTTTTCTTAGGATTGTTTTCTCTATAAATTCATTTGGTACTCTTTTGTTTTTGTGACCAGATTCAAAGATGTATGTATGCATGCTATATAAATGAATGTATGTGTACATGCATGCATCTATGTATGTATACATACACACATTTCTGAGTCCAGTCCTGATATCAAAAGAGTACCATTCTTTTATTTGTGTTACATGTGCAACAGTGAAGGTAAAAGTTGAGACAGGAGATACGAATATTGAACTTCTTTTCTGAGGTGTTTTAATATTTGAAAAAATATGTTGCATTATTTATAAGATAACTGTAATTCATACTGCATAATTTCAGTTACTGTATACAAATTATGTGTTTTAGAAATTGTATAAATTGCTATATATGTATAATTTTTTTTTTATTGCTATATATTCTTTTTTTTTTTTACTGCTTATATGCGTACAGAAATAAAAGTTTAAAAACCAGAGTAGTGTATGAGCCACTGTATAGAATTATTCTTATTCTCATATCTATGTGTACACTAAAGAGATAAAGTTATAAAAAAATATTTAAAGGCAAATTATGATTTAATATCTGTCATGATTAAAATACTACATTAAAAAATTATGCATTCAGCAACTGCTATAGCATTATTATAATGTATGCATTTAATTACTACATATATAAATATATTTAACCCTTTGGGTACTCATCAAATTGATTAGAGAGACTTGTCATCTGCTTACTTGGGCGAAGATTTCAATTTTGTTTCATGTATATATTTATTTATATTTTGTAACTAAAATGTTGTTTCAAAAATATATTTATATCACCAATATAAGCATATTCCAAATAAAATGTATTACTTTTACATATTAATCCATATAGTGACAAATTAAATCCATCCCATGGGCATAAAAATCTTCAAATAATTCAGTACTCAAAGGGTTAGCACAGTTTTAAGCAAGAACAGACCCATTTATTTGAATAATATTAAAATAATGAAAACAGAAGTACTTCATTTTTAAACAATTTGATACATACAAACATTTCAAGATGCACATTTATTTTCCAAATGTTAGGTCACAAGATTATCGTGCTTATGATTCTTTAGCATTTTTACATAATTCTTCAAAATATGGGAGTAAAACAGTCTCCAAATTCAAAAGTTTTGACTTTTGACTTATGACTTACTTTTTCTGGTCATTAACTATACAAAGAGTTTTTCGCCAGTAGATCGCATTAAAGTGCACTAGGCAAAGATTTTTCAAATAATGGTACTAGGGAGGGAGTACCAATACCCGTGGGCGAAGAAAATTCAGCTGCGTGAGCAGGCATATCTTAATACTTACGAAAGTAGGCATTCATCATAATCAAAAGCTTTAGAAAGTCCAAGCTAATGTTTTCATCAGGTTTCTATTTTCTTACTGGTGAGGAAATCACCTTTTTCATCACCATTAGTTCCACAGTGGAAAGATAACCACTGAACAGTTATTCTGAGCTGAAAGTATCTCAAAATTTGTCTAGGCGTCTTAAAATATAGATCTGATATACAAGTAAGATCTATATTTAATAAGATCTGATATATAAGTAAAATCAGTACTTTACTGTTATCAGGACCATATTCAGAAATGTATGTATATATGCAAGTGTGTATACACATACATATATACATGCAGACATGAACGCACATACATTTCTGAATCCAATCCCGATAACAGAAGAGTACCGTAAAATCTATTTAGCCTATTCTTTGTGATAAGATTTCACACTGAGAAAAATTATTACCATCTTTCATAATTAGTGATAAGCATAGTAATAAGCAGACAAGTGGATAAGACTAAGGAGCATTGGTAGTTTGAACACTAGTGGACAGGCTAGCTGCATGGGATATTTCTCGTGTGTCACATGAACAAAAGTCATTTTCTGTTAAATATACTTCATGAAAGTCTTCTACCCTCAAGAAGATACTGTTTTTATGCTTTGTAATAATCAATTAAGTAGATAAAGAAACATTCTCATTTACTACCATTGGTATAAAACTCAAGAATCTTTTTTAAAAAATCGTACAGTCTCTTATCAATTGTAATATTTTTATGCATATTCTGATTTATGAGTACAAAAAATTTATTTATCAAAAAACAACAAATTTATTTTTTGATATTTATAGTTCTACTGAAAGAATACAGAATCATGAAAATTCACCATAATTCCACAATCGGAAATGATACCAAATTATAGGAACATAGGCAGTAGATGTGTAGGCAACAGTATAAAATTTGTTACTCCTTACAAAATAAAAATCCAATGCTGGTACACAATACAAAATAAAAGGCATCCAATGCTGGTAGCTGTTATTGGAATATTTTATTTATATAGAAAAAGAAAATGCTTTGGATGTCAAGAAAACTTACAGAATTTCGGCTAGGGATTAATACATGACATCTGAAATCATAAGCAAATGGAATTAAAATTGCAGATTAAAGACTGTGATTTCTTAAAATATAATTACAAACTCTGGGGACTAGTTAAGGTGATAAATTATGACATATTATTCAGAAAAACCTTGACAGTAAAAGAAAATAATGTATATAGCAACACATACAAGTGTAAAATGCTCCACAGACTCGTCATGAATACGCTAACGTTGCAAAACTTCAAAAAATACATCTTTATTTTTACATAACACAATGAAATGAAATAGAATTATTTAGATGAAGAATAATGCATAAACAAGTTTCATGTTAATTTCTGAATTATTTTTTCTTTTGGGAGTTACTGGGTTACCTGATTATGGGTTTACTGGGTTATTTTATGAGTTATCCCACATCAACATTTTAATATATTGATTCTCTGAATAATCATTGTACTTTTTATATTTTACTAGGAGCTTTTTGTTAGTATAGTTTTGCCTACGGAAAAATACACAAAGATAGATTTCTTACAGTTTTAAAAGTAGTTTAAATAAAAAAAGACGTATTCTTAAATAATTTTTCTTTATTGAATTTTACGATGTTTACAGTACATGAAATAATAAGAACTTAGATATCACCAAGCATTTTCAAATACACAAAGAGTAATGAAATTTCGCAATGCAATAATTTTTATCAATTATTATATTTACGCTTTATTTCAAAGCGTATCAAAAAGTTATTCGGTATCGAGATAGCAAATTGAGTGGAATATAAAGTTGTATTTGTTTTCGAAATTAAGAGTTACATACTTCACTTATCGCCCCTACAATAAATTAAATATGAAATCATATCAGCGTACCACAAAATAACCAAAACAAATAAACTACTTCTACCCAAGAAGTACAAACAAGTTACCATAACGTTAACAAGTGCATTTCTTGTATGCTAGTTTTGCACAAAAATTGCGTTTGGCGATCGGAAAATGAAGCCAAAAGTTCCTGGCGCAATGGTCCTCTCTGATTGGTTGAATTTCTCCAGTTCCCGGCGGGTTTTAGCCGCCCGTCTTTCTTGATCCTTGATCCAAGGCCAACTAGACAAAGAATGATGCCTTGCTTGATTGGACACTAGGAATCTGGCAACGGTAAGTTTTATGGTTTCACGATTAAATAATAATGAATGAATTTGAAGGTAACGAAGTGAAAATGATAAAGTATACTTTATTCTCTTTAATATTTTTCGCCGGACCGCTCATAAAAGGTATGATTTTAATTTAGCAATCTGTATTCCTTAATTTATAAGCAAGATAAACGGCAAACTCTTAAAAAAAAAACTAACTCTGTCATTCTGGGCGATTTTAATGGAAGAGATTTTTAGCAACTTTTCAGTATTGAGTATCTCTCCCTGAGATTTGCAATTTTGGCATTTGGTAAAGCTCAGATTTTCGAAGAAGCTATGTATTGGTTTTTTGCCTCTGCTAATGCTCTGAAAAATAAAATTAAGAGCACCCCCTCTCCCCACCCCCCCAAAAAAGATTATTTTTCGGTGTTAAATGTACCGTGATAAAAATATAGTGTACCTCAAATCCTAAAATCTGATTAGACTTGAGTTTAATGTCCTCTAAATCTTAGTACTGCATACTGCACTTACTTTATTAGGTTAAAAAATTGCGTTTGATTGCAAAAAATGTAATCAATGTAACTAAACCAATGGATGCACAGTGGGCAAAATGTGTGTATTTCTACGAGACAAGAGATGTACCTTTAATGCATCAGGAATTATTCAGTATCTGAAATTCCCCCTCCCTTTCAAGGAACATCAAATATTCAAGATACTGTTTATAAGGAATATTTTAAAAACTCTTAATTTCTGTTGAAGTTCAAAAACTGCATGTTTGTTTGTACTGTCAAACGTTTTTTATAACGCGAGTTTCTTGCCTTTTTTGATTTAAAATATGTCTGAACATCCAAGCTTAATTTCATTACAATTATTATGTGTTGTTACTAAAACTCAGCAAATTAGGTTCATTTTGTGCTGTTTATATTTTACTTTGTTCTTTAATATGCAGTGCTCTGTTTATTTATTAATCCATATTAGATGTGCATAAAATCGAAGACATTCCTGTTTTCATGTTAATATTTTAAAATTATTTTCAGGTGCTTTAGCTGACAGAACTAGCTTGAAAATATATGAAGATATTCAAAGTGATATTTTCTGCTTTCGTAGATTAAATGCTACGCACCAGATAGGCTGTTCTTGTAAGTAATAGTATGCTTTTTTGGGTGAATCTTTACATTATGGTAACTCGGCGAAAATTTGGCGACCAACCCTGCTACAGCAACCTGCTAGTTTTGTTTTGGATGCCATTTTGTTTTCACGAAGTAAAGGCATTTTTTTTTTTAACTCAACATTTTTTCCAACAATCTGCTAGCCGAATTACGCTTATACTAGAACTTTTATGAAACAAAAATGCTTAATCATGACGAAGATTAGGTGCGAAATTCGGAGAAAGTGCAGAATCGCAAACTGCTTGCCGCGTTTTTAAGAATTGTACATTACACGGTATCCATGTACACGTCGACCTATTTTTCACTTAAAAAAATATCCCAGAATTGCACAAAAATGGCATTGCGCACACTCTTGTAAAAAACTCACATCGACATATTTTCACTTAAAAAGTCAAAGAAAATTGACAAAAATCCAATTCTTCTTACTCTTGTAAAAGGCGTCAAACAAATAAGTGGGTGATTCTGCACTTTAGCAGCAAAATTGTTTCTTAGTGCTTATGAGCTAAAATCACGATCGGAATTTTCCGGAAAATGTCACATGACATGTCTCATGATCTCTCATTTCTCTGAGACAAAATAATCTGTGATTCAAACTGTGTACTTCACATATTATTGCTAAAGTCCTACCTAGTAACCTTTATCGCCTTACCAAAATGTTGCCAAACTACATGTTACCATATTCTAAAGATTAGCCCTTTTTTGTTATTAATTTTGTAATTTTTTAGTTGTAATAGATTGAAAAGACTACATAACAAAATGTCACCATGTATGTTTCATTGAAAAAAAAAAAAAAAAAAAAAATTGTCAAGAGAACATGAGGTGTGGTGATTGATAAGTACCCCCTTTTAAAGCTTTCAAATCGTTATAATAGCTTATCATTATATATAGTACAAAGTCCTTGATTTGGAACCGTCAGGACTTCAAGAACTTCAGATTTTGGTATTTTCTGGATTTTAGATCATCAGCTTAAATCTACAGAAGTTTAAAAATATAAATTAGTTTTTAATGAAATAGTGAAACATTTATGATCTTAATGGATTCATCAGAATTTACAAAATATATGCAGTATATGTTTTAAAAAATATTGCTGTGAGTGTATGTTGTTTAAGCTGTTTCATTTTTTGTATTAATACTTCCTTTGCAATGTAAAAGGTATAATTTCTCTCTCAGTTACTTGTAGTATATGTGTTAAAAATTCCTTGAAATCTCTTCGTTCTTGAAAATCTATCGGTTGTATTATTTTCTGGGTTTAAAAACTATACTATGAATTTTTCATTTTATTAATTGATGATTAATTGGACCATTGTTATTGCAATGAATATCATCTTCATTTATTATCATTTGCCCATATTTATTCCCATATTCCATTAATTGGAAAATTTTGCTATCAGAAAATTTACTGATCAGAATATGGTTCCCAGTCAAAAGCCCACTGAACGAAAGCGAACGTGACAAAAGCCCATAAAAAAAGCCCACTGTGATAATTGCCCACGCGACAAATATCCACAGCGATGAAAGCACACATTGATAAAAGCCCACATAATCAAAAGGGACTTACGGTTTTTTTATTACTACAAAATGTATTTATAATTTTAATTATAGTAAATGGAGTACTTAGATCTGATTTTTTTTAATATCTCAAAAATATGTTTTGTCTGGTGTATTTTATAACTGTTTTATTTGTTTATTTTTATTAGGTTGAAAGCAAACTTTCTGCTCTCTGATTAAGTGATTAGCTATAACGTTTCGATGAGAAATCCGAAAATGCATTTTATTATTTATTTACTTACTAGCAGCTTCGCTGCCAGCCTTCGTCTGGCTTTTAAATGTACCCGAAAAGTGGCTGAAGGGAACACCAAACGTTACATTTTAAAACTGCATAGAATTTTATTCTGCAGAAAAACTTCATAAAAAAAAGTCATTCCATATAACAAAATTACAATGAAATAAGCAATATTCCTTAATACAAATATTAATTATCCTAATAAATAAATTAACCAACTTCCCTTTGCAAAATCTTTAAGAACTCAAATGGTATAAAGGAGGTTAAGAACATTGTTTCCTAAAAAAATCACTCATACTTTTCAATATCTTAAAAACAGTGAAATGTAATAACATCAAAAAATACATAAAACAAAAATTTCTGAAAAGCAAAGTATAATTAATGATATTTTATCTTATATTTTCAAGAGAAAAAAATAGGTGCTACTTTGGTAGACGGTTGCACGGATTTTTGGCGATTTACATTGCCACTATTGTTGGCGCGGTTTTTACAGTCATCAGCCATCTTGAAAAATGCTGTTTTTACGTATTTTACATATATAGTAAAGTATTAGAAATTTAAAAAAATAAATATCGTTAAAACTAATGGATTAATGTTTTGTTGAAATCATTGTTTTTTAAGATGGCTGGCAAATGTAAATAAATACATTTACTAAGAGTATAAAATGCTAAAGTAAAGTTAAATTATTACTTTCATATAATAGAATAAAAACTCCGTTATAAAAACATTGCGCCAACATTTAATTGGATTAAAATATTACTTAAATTGAATATTGAATTAAAAACATCATACCAACGTTTAAAGAATTAAAATATTACTTAAATACTTTAAAAAGTTTATATTATTTAATTATTTAACATTAAAACATATGTGGCAATAAATATCTCGGGAATTTTTGAAAACATTGTATTCATTTTTGGTTGATCTTTACAATATGGTAACTGGTAGTTTGGCGACATTTTGGAGGCGATAAAGGTTACTACCTGGGACTTTGGTAATAATGTGAGCAGTACTCAGTTCCGATTATGCATTATTTTGCGTGAGGGAAATGAGAGATCATGGGATATGTCATGTGATATTAATGGACGAATTACGGTTCTTTAATCGGAAAAGGGGGGGAAATCGGGAAAAAATCTGGAAACTTTGTATTTAGCTTTATTAGTGTGTTGTGTGAAACAGTGTTGATTAATTTTTGGATCCCATGGCCCTATGTAAACTGAATTCGAGGGAGATATTACAGAAGTTTGAATGGCGGTGCAAGAAATCTATGAAAATGGACATACAAATACGATTAGGCACGTGGGGTGCTATAAAAAGTGCTATTCCGAGTATTATAAGGAGAATTTTGCTTTTTATTTAGCGGAGGAAGTATGGAGGAAAAATTCGCAGAAAAAAATCTTTCAATAATTTTATTGAATGAATTAGAAAAGTGTATCCGCCACGTAATCAAGATTCTAAAGAAGATTAGGTAAGTTAGTATTTTAATTATTTGAGGATATTATTTTTATGCATTGTTCTAAATGTAAGGTGGAAAGGAATTTGGTATTATTGGGAAAATTGTTATTAGCAATGATTTAGTTTAAAGTAATTAGGATTGTAAGGTAATTTTTATTAATTTAATGTATGTGCTCATTTATATTTTAAGTAGTGTTTTTGAATTTAATTATATTTTAATGAAATGATAGTTATTTTGTGAATTTTATGTTTGTAGGCATTTGGTATACGTTTTAGTTGAAGTAAACGTGCATGGAAATAATTTAAATATCTGACACTAAGTATTTGTAATGGTTGCGGTATGAATTCGTTCGTGAGGTTTATAATATAATAGATGATTTAGAGGTAAAAGTTTTTGGATATTTTATTTATTTTATATGTGGAAATGTTCATATTTGGAAAGGGTAATACTTTTTCGCGATCAGGTAATTTCATATATGTTCTTTTTACCGGGTTTAAAGATTGAGAAAATTGTCATGTATTTTCGTGAAATTTTTCTAATTTATGAGAAAAAAAGCAGTGTACATGGATATAGTGAATGAAGAGTGTGCGCAATGCCATTTTTGTGCAATTCTGGGATGTTTTTTTAAGTAAAAATAAGTCGACGTGTACATGGTTTAGTGATATTTTAATTAAATGATAGTTATTTTGTGAATTTTATGTTTGTAGGAATTTGGTATACGTTTAAGTTGAAGTAAACGTGCATGGAAATAATTTAAATATTTGATACTAAGAATTTGTAATGCTTGCGGTATGAATTCGTTGGTGACGTGTATAATGTAATAGATGATTTAGAGGTAAAAGTTTTTGGATATTTTATTTATTTTATATGTGGAAATGTTCATATTTGTAAAGGGTAAATACTTTTTCGCGATCAGGTAATTTCATATATGTTCTTTTTACCGGGATTAAAGATTGAGAAAATTGTCATGTATTTTAGTGAAATTTTTCTAATTTATGAGAAAAAAGCAGTGTACATGGATATAGTGAACAGTGTGCGCAATGCCATTTTTGTGCAATTCTGAGATGTTTTTTTAAGTAAAAATAAGTCGGCGTGTACATGGTTTATGTGTATGTGTTATTTTGAAAAACGCGTAAGGAGTATGGTATTGTGCACTTTTTCCCAATTTTGCAGTGAATATTTGTCATGATTAAGCAGTTTTGTTTGATAAAATTTCTAGCATAAGTGTAATTCGGCTAGTAGATTGTTGGAAGAAGTGTTCAGTAGATAAAAAGAAAAGAAATATGTCTTTACTTCGTGAAGACAAAATGGCGGCGGGGAAAAAAAAAATAGAGGGTTGCTGTAGGAGAGTTGGTTGCCAAATTTTCGCCAAAAAATCGCCAAGTTACCATAATGTAAAGATCAACCTAATTTTTTAATAAAAGTTGAAGTATACAATTCTAAAGTAAAAGAAAATTATGTACTTACATTTTTTAAAGTATTTTACCTGTATATTAATAAGTACCACACACACACACAAAAAAAAAAAAAAGAAAAAGAAAAGGTCTTCTAACGATCTTCATCTGTGATCCACGTCTCTCGCACTTCATTGAAGAAGCAATTAGCGAGGTTTTCTCCAAAAATTTAAAATAAATTTCCTCTGACGCTATTAATAGTTTATAAATAAATCTTTGATTAGAAAAGCAGACAACAAAGTATCGGTTATCATAAATAACTTATCCAGCAATGGGT